TCAGGTCAATGACTCTCTTTGTGCCTGTTTTGGTTTTTTGTCCCTAACTTGGAGTAACATAGATTACTTGAAAATGAGACTTGATTTAATCGATATTTTATAAAATGTTAAAAACAGCTTTATTAATGACATTCTTTGTCGTAAAATAAATTATTTTTATTCAGATTGTATGTGAGTATAAAAATCTCAATATTAAACTTTACAGGTAACAGGGTAATACGTATTCTGATAATAAGTAACATAAATTTATTCCCAGGTATAGAGCGAGCGTAGCTCGAGTAAAAATTTAAATGCGATTAAAATATATTACATGTAATACGGTGTTATTACATAGCTGGTTTACGTAACGACCGAATTCACGCACTCTCTGATACCTGAAGGTTACTATCAAGATGGGATGAAATAAATGTTATATGTACAATTTATAATTCCACTTAAGTTTAATTAAGTTTTTAACCGACTTCAAATTGACAAGTTCTCATTTTCTCTGTATGTATTTTTTTTAACAATTAGTTTTTGAGGTTAACCATTTTTTTTTCTCAATTATTTCAACCATTTGCTACTAAGAAGTTTTCATTACAATTGTATTTAATTTTAAATCTATTTTTGTAAATACCTGAACACTTGAGTCTCTCAGATTCAATTATTGTACGCTTCTCATATTCCTTTGGACGTTTTCATCTTTGAATCTCGAGAAGAATGTTTGTTTTCCATTATTCCTTATAGAATCAGAGCACAAATTGTGGTTTTAAAAGCGGGGATTTTTGTCGTTGTTTTGTTATCAAATCAAATTAAATAAAGTTCGTTAGGTGCGAAGTATTTTTAACGTTGAAAGGAATAGCTCCTTAAAAGCTCCTATTTTTATTATTATTTGAGAACAAATTCTTTGATGGTAAATAATACGAATATCGCTAAAATTTTCCTTATTCCCTCTGTATTTATAAAAGTATTACTTCTTTTTTAAATAAATTGTCTCTGAATTAATACCTATTTTTAAATACAGTTTAAGACAGACAAGAAACGTTATAAATGTGTTTATCAATGCTATAGTTAATTATTAATAGTTTAAGCAATTTAAAAAATTTAAGTTACTATTAATCAATTCGTTTTAACTTGACACCCGATGGCAATGAGATTACGCTCCGGACACATTCCAAGTAACAAGTTTGGATGGCTAATCAAAAAAGTTAATTCACCCAATTGCAGTGAGTGTAGTGTAGTTGAAGATGTTCATGTTGTATTGGAGTGTGTTCGGAGCGAGCGCATTAGACATAATTATTTTAAGCGTTACGGATGTAATGTCGGTCACTTAAACACTATCCTGGCTTATCCGTCTTGACGAGGCCGGGATGGTGTTTGAGTTGGCCGACATCTGTTTAAAAAAACAGTTGGATTGTAAGTTTTAGACTTATGGGGCGTTATCAAAGAAAAAATCCCCTAAAAAAATAAATAAAAAAAAACTTAACCCCCGGAGGAAATCTTAGTCGATTTCAAGTCGGGTTTTTTCTGTAAAGTCCTATTTTATGTAATTGGGATGTGATACTTTCTGTCAATAGAAATTAACATAACATGAATGATAAGCATCGCGAGTAATTAATTATTACGATAGACGCAGACCGCGATGTAATCAGCGCCGCCGCGGCTGTTTGCGGCTGACCACAGACATCGCTCTCATTTACTTATGTTGATATATCATTGTAACAAATATTATTGTGTTATCTGCACATAATACAAATGAATAATTAGCCGTTGAAGTGAATAGGCATCTACAACATATCAACGTTTTTACATATTTAAGGGCAGTGGTAAAATTTAGCTAACTGTATCATGGATCGCCAGCTCGCTTACCATCTACTGAAATAAAAGATAATTGTATCCAGTGTTAAAAGGTTTATAATTTTCTTTTACAGGTGACTAAAATTATATTCCCTGTCTGATCAAAATTTATAACTTCCTTAAATTATCGACAGTATTGAAAATAACTTTTCAATGAGTTTATTTTAAACATTGATTTGTTATAAATAGCCGCGTCGTTTGCTCCAAAACTCCACTTCAAAAGATCGCTACTTTTGACAGTTGGTTAAAGTCACACCATTTATAATAAAGTTCTGAAAGCATGAAATTTTCCAATTGAATTTCCGAACCGACCGTGGATATGTCACAGTCGATTGCATTACATTTATTGCACCAAATGTGTGAATTTAACTGCTATTATAAATGGTAAACTTCTCAATTACACTAAAATTTCTATAACTTGATTCCTCATTCGACATTTGTCTATTAAATCTTTAGAAGTACAATATAATAATTATCAAATATTATTAATTAATCGGCGGTATTTCCAAACCAATACGACTTAGGGTCCTTCAAGAAGCGAGCCTATCAT